ATATATATAATTATATTTTTATAATTTTATAATTTTATAATTATAATTAATATATATTTATATAAATATATATATATAAATTATATAATATATATATATATTTATATATATAAAATATAAGAGAGCTACTTAAAGATTGTTGCAAAAAAACTTTCTAAATTTTGCATTTTTTTATATAAAGCATTAGACATATTAAATATTAGAATTAGATAATTTCATGGATTCTAATTGAAATTTTTATATGATGAATATATATATATATATATATTCGCAACTTTATTCATTTCCAATCTTTTAGTTTATGATGTTAAATTTATTGCAAATTTTTATTCAATATTTTCTCTAGGTATTAAAAGATAACAAGTTGTCCTTTTTCCATTGCGGTTTATATTTTCTAAAGGCGATTGAATACGAAGCTTACAAAATTTAATCCATATTTATAGGTTCCATGTTGATGGTATTTCTTTGTAGCTTTGTAGCTAAGAAGCTTAATGGATTTGGAGTTGATTTTATTAAAAATATTTGGAAGCAATCGTGATATATTCTATTGTAAAAACATACGTTACATTTGAATAAAATACTTCATTTTATCGTAAAAAAGAATTATAAAATAATACAGCGTTAATTCAACGATGTTAATCCGACATTGATATTTTTCTACGTGTGATATATGCATATAACACAATTGACATATTTTCATAATATGCAAAATATATTGGCGAGATACAAACGTTACAATTACTAAATTATATAGAAAATCGAAAATTTTAATTACACTTTCAAAAATAGCTTCGGTACGAGGAGATAGTCAGTGTGCCGACTCTATAATACCTAGTAGAGAACGCGTGCATTACTCTCTTAGCAAAAACGTGAGTTGGCACGTATTCTTCTCACCGAGCCCCACAATTAATTTCTCCGGACGCTTTCTCCATTCGTTCCGATCAAACAATCGCTTAGCATTATTCTTTGCGCATGTTCTAGGAGGTGAACCACCGGGCACAAGAAGCATCGTCGCTTATTCGTGGGCCCGAAGATTGGCACTCGATTACAGGCCCACCAAGCAATGCGACGGTAATAGAACGCGCGAAATGATGTTAAACGCAAACGAGTTGCCCGACACGAAATGGCTCGAAACAATCCCGGGACAGCTCTTCCTGTACAGCGCCCACTTGGACCTCAGAATCGCCGGTTACCCGAGCATCAGAGTGATTGGCGTTAAACGAGGAGCCCTGCCACCCTCCGCGCTCTTCTGCACTATATGGTGAGCCATTTTTCACGTTGCGATATAGCCCGTTACTCTATCTCTGACGAACGCTAAGTATCAGGGGAAAGAGAATCAGTAAAGGATGCTCATAAACGCACGCTATGATCGTCTTTGCAAATCACGACAAATCGGTTAAATTACTATCAATGTTCCTTACAGTTATTAATATAAATATCTTTCTCTATCTCTTTAGTTCAAATTATATCAACATCAATTAAAGCTGTAAAAATTTACGCACGATGTACTTTAAAGCTGTAACTTAAATCTTTACACGCTGTACTTTAAATCTGTAACTTAAATCTTAATTAGCAAATGTAATTATGAACTGTCATTCTAATCATTTTAATAAACAGAAATGGCAAATGAAACTCAACTAACTCTTAATGTTATCAATTAAAATTTATTCAACATCTGTTTGTTCGTATTTCTTCCACTTGAATATTTAAGAAAAATGCTGGAAATCGTGTTTCTTTATAGCAGGCTTAACGTGAATTTATAACGTGGAACATGTACAAGCGCATTATTAACAAATATATTAGAGAAAATACATCTTAATTTATTTCGTACTTTTAATTTTGACGAAATTAAACTTCATTAATGTGAATTAAAACTTCCTCTTCGCATACGATTTAGCCGTTTCGAGTAACGTTAGGAATGAGTAATGTAAACATTAACAACGGCGTGAAACGGAGCATATTCGCTTAGAATGTACGGTTGAAAGATCGCTTTATAAATGTCGTTTTAAATGCCTCTATAAATATCTTCCATCGTTGCGTGCGGATGTTTTCCGCTACAATTCTTGATGCGGAAAAAACGCGTCCTTTCAATCGGAAACGATAGATTAAGTGTCTTGGTTTTATTATATTTCAGGTACCGGGAGTACGGGAGAATACGGTCGTTAAGCGTTGAAGCGCTTGTTTCGACAATCTGGTTAGACGAATGGGGCGACGCAGCGGACAGTTATACCGGAATTCTCGTTAATTGTCAATTGCCGTTGGACGGTTCAATACGTCATACGTCTCAGATTTACGTGGGCCCGAGTCCCTGCTACGGGAATGCTAGTCATAGTTTAACGACCCGCTCGGAATTCGATGACGAGATCACTGCCGACAGGAAGAGGCGTCAGCAGTTCACTCTGTGCATCAAAGGGTTAGACTTCGACGAAGACATATCGCGTAAATTAATAGCTTTCGTCGAGCTGCACCGTATTCTGGGCGCCAAGCTCTTTTATTTCTATGTATTCAACGTGCATGAGAACGTACTTAAGGTGCTACGTTTGTACGAACGATCGAATGTGGTGCGATGGTTCACGCTTGATTTGCCGGGTGATTTGCCGAACGAGAAGGCGGCCCGAAGGCGATTCTTCAGCGAGGATATTTGGACGAAGAGGCGAATGGAGCTGATCCCGTACAATCACTGCTTCTATGAAAATCTCCACCGGTCAGAGTTCGTGGTGCCAATCGATATCGACGAGGCAATCGTGCCAACGCGCCGAAAGACTTGGCACGAATTGCTACTGGATGAACGCGCGAAACTCGGCCGAAATTTTAAAGACTTCGCCTCGTATTCGGTACGAAATGCCTATTTCTTTCCCGAACTGCAAAATAAAAGTCAGACCGATCGGTTGACCGGACTCGATGAGGAACTCCGTCGCTCGGCCGAGTATACGGACTATCTGGATACCATGAGAACGGCCAGTATCTCGCCCGAGGGCGACTCAGTGAAAAGTTTCGTCTCCACAAGGCGTGCGTTAACGGTGCACAATCATTATGCCCTGACCACGCTGAACCCGTCCACTAGACGGGCTCATCATCTGGACTCAAACGACGTGCTCAAGCATCATCACCGAGCTTGCGACAGCCGACATCTCGATTGCGATCTCCTGATGGAGGACGTTAGAATCGACGAATCCGCTTTACGCTACGCAGACGAGCTCAAGACGAGGATGAAGATTGCTTTAGCCGATCTCGATGCCCTGCCATAGACTAAAGTGATGTTGTAAATAATAAAAATTTTTTTCAAAATTTTCGCCTCTTGTTATTTATTAACTATTCTTGCATACCTCTGAAATAATTCCTATGATATTGAATAATCGAAATCTTAAATTTGCAATGTTTCGAGTTAACAACGATGAAACTTAATTAACAAATCATACAATTTGCAAAATACATGTAATTTTTTTCTTTAGATAAACTCGTTAAATTCATTCAGTATTTAGTTAGTATTTATTAATAACAATCCTCGAAACTTGAAAAAATATAATTTAATAATGTATAAAGCAGGAAGTAAAAATATAATTTAATAAAGTATAAAGCAGGAAGTCTTGAATAATCCCATTAAAGTTCAATGTACAGAAATAATCTAAAGCACTCCCCTACCTTCGTGTTGTCCCCTTCGGAATGAAACAGGTCACCTAGAAAACAATAGCCCAGAACCAGTAATTTAAAACGACAAGAGTAACGGTGACGTTTCTCGCGAGTGTTGTACTTAAAATTATTACGGTCGGATACAATAATCTGAGACATGTAAAAAGACAAAAAGCTGAGATACTGGCTGTTCTCATGGCAAAAGCAAGCCTGACACTTTTCAGGCGTTGATAAGTAAAAAATTATATTACCGAGCAGATGATAATTGGAAAAAGCGTAACGTGACAAAAGCAAGCTTCACGCTTTTCAGTCTTAATGCTTGAAATTATTGTAGCTGGGCGCAATAATTGGAAAGTATTTAAAATGACAATAGCATGTTTGATGTGCCTTCAAGATTGATGCTTGAGTTTGTAATGGTTGAACGCAATAATTGGAAACCGTCTAAAACGAACAAAAGCAAGGCTGATAGCTTTTCAAGGCACAAGGCTTTGGAGCGCTTCGAAAGATTCAAATGCCTTCAACAGCTAGAACTGCTTTTCGCGCCGCTGTGGCCTCAACCGTCTGACACGTTTATCAAATGAGATGAAACGAACGCGCTATTTACGCGAAGGAAAGCACAGGAAAGGTAAGAGTCCCTCGAGTTAACGAGTACGTATGAGGAGCGAACGACTTTATAAAGCACCGCATCCATCATGTCCGGTACATGTGAACGACAGTTTCAATCTCGCTAAAGTGGCGGTTCGGTGGTCATCCATTAGCGTTCAAGATCTCGTTCCACACGCAGGTCAAATGCCTCAGCAGCACAAACGGCCCCAAGGAAACTTCTATCGCCGTCGTTATCGACTGATTAGATACTAGCTTGACTCATCCGATGCGGAACGGCGTTACGGCGCGGTCGCCATCAAACATATTTTTCACCGATAAAATCGTAGAAGATGGAAATGACTTCTGTGCGAGCATCCGAGACACGAGATAAATGCTACGACGACGACGGAAGCAAACAAGGTACGATCGTTTGAAATGCGACCGCGATTCTCCCAGACAAATTTTATGACTCGTATCGAGCGCGCGCGCGAATACGTGATCAAGGTCGTAACTAGATTTAATAGATCATAAGGAAACCGTCGTATCCGCATTCTCTCAAATTTGTTACAAAGAACGAAGATAAAAGCGGAATGCCATTTCCGTTCAAGGGAGAAAGAGATAAGTGAGTTCGTATAACGTTGAAATTATTCGCAGACATTCACGGCGTGCCGAGCACTCTTCGAGGTGACGCTTCGCCGATTCTTCAAATGTCGCTGCGTCTTCGAAGTGCAGTAACCGAACTCACAAATTTCCAGAGAGACATGATAGTCGTAAGAATGGAGAAAAGTTTTCCATCGTACTCTCCAAGTACACCGATCAGGCGGAGCTGCTATCGGTATTTAGGATGACAGCGTTACGAGCAAGCACCGAGAAGTAACATACGCATCAAGATCGTTCCAGTTACATATAATAATATATCGTGCAAGCGAGACAGATTGACCTGATAAGGTATCGCTAAAATGGAGAGAAACTCGTCAACTATTAAACATGCAGACTTATGTTAGTATTACACTGTGCAGATCCTGTTCCCGATTTTTCACTTATACTTTAAGATTAGCCTCGTCACGCCAGTCATCAATTTGAATAAATTTGTTTAACCTATAATATGCTCATTTTTTTACCAATCATTGTCACGATTTTTATTAACATAGTAAGAGTTTGAAGAAGTTCTTTCGGTTTCCAAAAATTTAGTACTATTTTTATTTAGTTTTGTTATTTTTTATCTTCTTTTTATACAATTCTTACCGAAAAGGTTAAAATAAAGCTTTAATAAACTAGAATAAATTTTAACATCCGCAAAATGAAATACGCTTTAGTATAAAAATTTAGTTACAGCTACGTATTAGAAAAAGTATAATCCAATTGTAAAAGTAGCTACTGCATATTTATGATTAAACACAATTGCATTGTGTAGACTTCTTATAATTATCAGCAAAAACAAAATGTTGGATATAAACGAATTAACACTCCCATAGGAAGTGCACAATTTCGGGAATTAAAATTTCAGTTGAGAGCTCCCAATCTATCATAAATGTCATTATATCCTTCAGTTCGTGTATGTTAGCGCACGTATTTCTTTACTGATTTATATCCGCGGCATTTGAGTTACAACGTTTTTTTCCAAGCTGACAAAGTAATCTCGCTAAGTCACGCCTGAGGGGTCCCATTGAGCGTCTCGCGCAAGGGGCGTTAATTCGATCGCGAAAGAATATTTTCGCGCGGCACAACGAGAAGCCGTGCTCCACTTAACAAAGTATCCGCGAGAAAGCGTCCATCTGACAACACGTGATAAAATTCGCACTGGTGTCACATTCATCGCTCGCTGGCGGATGCCAGAGCTAAGACCGATTCTCGAATTAATGCAGCGATAAATCACGCAAATTTTAAGAGGAGCTGCACGCGCTCATCGCCCGCCTAAATTTATCGGTATACTACCGGATGTACCGGATTCCTGATCCATACCCTTCGCCGACGACGAGAAGATGATTACGTCACGACAACGACCTCTTCAAATTTTATCTTTCCTCCTAGCAAATTTCCGCATGGAATTCACATATATCTTCGGTAATAATGTCTCCGCCAGTCGCGCACACCTGACTTTTTCGGCCGCGACAGTCTCGCTCGAACAAGACGCCAACTTGAGGTGTAATTCTCGAGAAAAACACGGGAAGTCGTATTATTACTGTCGCTCGCTGTCAAACAAACGTGCATGATCGCCGACCTCGCCGATGATGACATCGTCGCGAATAATCTTCCGAGCGAGCGAATTTTTATGATTTCCTTTCTCCTTTTTCTCTTCGAATAATCCAGGTCGCTATTCTCGAGAAATTGATTTCTTTTCTGCGTTATATTTTTGCTTCTAAATTACGTTATCCAACTTACTGTTTTCCTCAAAAATTCATCCTTCCGACACCGCCTTAAGTTGTATCTCATTGTTCGGACGGCTTTCCTCATATTATTGCGAAGGACTGATCACACGAGTTGAAAAGGTAGGTCAGATCCTACACGATGAGGAGTAAATGGAAAGCATAATAGCATTACAGTTCTCTGGAAACAAGTTTGAATTCTCCGAGACTATAGTGTCTCCATTGCGAAACAAATTAGGACGTTCAGTGTCAAAAGAACGTATAATGCGGACTTCTTTGAGATAAAATGTTTTTGTAATTTAAAATATTATAAAGCTAAAATTGTAAAAAAGAGACTACATCTTAAGGATACTATTTTATATTATGAAATATAAAAGAGTAACTTTTAAAAAAAAATTTCAAATTTTATCAACTAATTGTAATATCATAATAAATTCTAAAATATTGTAAAACATTTATATAAAATCTTTTTATAATAAACTTAAATAACTAACTACTAAAAGACTTGATTCTTCTTTGATTTTTACTTTTCTTCAACTATTCGCTGCGTTATCATTCATAAAAGCATGTGTTTGTATAAATTTATAAGATATATAGATGTGGGTATTAAGTATATAACTGTCTGCAAAGTTATGATGAGCTCGGGTCTGTGGATTCGCTAAGCCCAAATGACTGTGCGGATCAGTCATCCCTGCGGGCATATATTTATAGCAATATTTTATGAGTTATGTAACTAGAGACGTCGTTTGAAACTTATAAAGCATACAAAACGTACGACGGCACGTTTACGCCTATTCATATTTACCAAGCTGTATTTATCAATTAAATCCAGTCAATTAAAACTGACAACATGTCATTTTATAAAAAAATAGTTTTAATATAAAACTCAAAAGACGAAACAAAAAATGAAAGTATCCAAGAATATTTTGACCTACTTTTATCTTTTAATATGTTTACGTGTGTACTTGATTCATTCTTCTAGAATTCTTTATTCGTATAAGTTCACACCGTGCTAATTCTTTATTACAATTTTTATTTCGTATACGTGAAAGATTCAGAAATCTCCTAATTGTTAGTAAAACGCAGATCAAGACCTAAATCTACAAATCTCGCGGGAAATATACGGATAAATTATGCGCGCACCGTAAACTTAACGAGAATCAGGAACATAAAGACATGCAACACGAGCAACACTCATATTGCAGCACAAAAAAAGCTGGAAAATGCAACTTTCGCGATTCGTCGAGTATCTGCAAGCATGCGCCTGCCATCCGCCAAAGCGAGAGGGAAAGAGAAAGAGAGAGAACACGGAGAGAGGGTTGATCGCGAGTAAGCAGCACGTGCGTGACAGTCATCCTGGCGCATCCGCCAGGACCGCTTGCATTTCGGAAGTTATCTTTCCATCATCGAATGTTACAGATCATTATCTCGCGCAATAAACATTCGCGCAATAGTCATATCCGGCGCACGTAACTCGCGAAAATCCTTAAAATCCTTAAAATCAGCGATTTAACTAATACTTCGTTACGCTTTTCGTCGCGGACATCAAGTCTTCTTTAATTCGAGCTCATCTTGAAATCATTCGCGATTATATACGGTAGAGACAATTGATTTCTCAAATTCGCTCTGGTCTATTTTAAACGTGCTCCAGTGGAAATATATAGAGTGAACGTCGTAAACGCCGGTGACACGGTATAAAATATGCACGGTTACCACGAAGAGTACATGTATGCGCGTGCCCTGCGCGTATACTGCATCAAGAATGCGAGCCACATGCAAATTACATTTAAGTACTCCCGGCAGATTCTCCTATCGCTCGTAATATCTATTATTTCCGCATGGATACAGATCGTCGATATGGCAAGGCGGATTATCAAATCTTCATCACTTCCGAGAACAAAAGTTGTCTGTCCGTTAAAAGGTACAAAAAATCATTTCACCCAACAACGTGCTCGTCCGAGTGGACCATAAATCTCATAAAAATTGCTAACATAGCATGATGATACACAGACAGAATAAAATGAGGCATAGCAGTTCCTGGCCCGATCGAGCGCCGCAAAAAGTGAAGGTGCGCGTCGATCCCTTATCTCGTGCCTTTACTATCATCCCAACGAGCCGCGAAACAGTATATCGATTGGAACAAACTGCGCCGCGGTCTAATTGCCTGGAAGAAGTCATCCTCCTAGATCGATGTGCCCCAGGAGGAGTCACATCCGTGATGATAAAACGAAGATTAATCGATGGAAGACTACCTATAAATAAGAAACCCGCGAATTTCCCCGAGACCTCATCCGACATGAATAACGAGACGAAGAGTATGAAAAACTCCAACCAATATTTCATGCCGCGCAGCCTTTCTTTAATCGAGACAACTGCAACTAATCAAAATGCGGTCATCGTGTTAGAAGAAAACGTCTTTCGAAATCAATCAAGATGCAGATCGGATTACTCGCTTGTAAAGATTGATGAAGTAAGAACGCGAGATATGAGAAAGGACTTCATTTCAAGCGCCACATCGGATACAAATTTCCCAAAGTTGCTTTCGAAAGAGCTACACGCCGAGGAAAAATTTGAAGATGCATCCGCGCAAATAAAAAACAGATCTCCTTCATTACCGACAAACGCCTTTGATGTTATAGTAAATATTGCAAATGAGAAATGCCATATAGTAAACGACGCGCAAACAACTAATTCGGAAACGCGAGAAACGGATAATGCGGGGAAAAAATGTCAAACTATCGTTTCGCCCATATCCTCAGCGAAATACGCATTATCGCCACCGCATATCAAGGTGATAGACTATGACGATTATGTGACATCCATGTCATTCTTATCAAAGAATGATCGCCATGCCTGTCCAAAGTGTACGTCAGAGGGTATCCTTCACTCGCAGATCGATCCCTCTCGTTCTCCTTCGCAAAGCAAGAAAAACGATGATGGGGCAATGGTGAACGCGCGCGGTGTTCGATGCGATGGTCTGATCGGATGCAAAAAAAGGAAACACGCACCGAGGAACATCAAAATAAAGATATCTGGCAAGGAAACCGCCAAATTGGGGAAACAAGAAATATGAATAAAGATGGCAAAAAGCTGAAGCAAGAGAGAAAAAGTGACGATCCGTCGCAGGCACGATGTTTAGCGGATTTCAGAAAGGAGGCTACTCTAAGAAGACATTATTATCCCGAGGGAGGTTGGGGATACGTCATAGTCACGTGTTCAGTATTGGTGCATTTCATCGGGGTGGGTCTGCAACTTGCCGCGCCCGGATGTTGGTACATCACGGCCGAGTTGAAATTCCGGCATCCCCCGCTGCATAGTGCAGGTAAAAATTGTCTGATATTTTTAACACATCAAAAATTAACTTTATAAAAGTTTAGAATAGTATTTTGTGTAATATAATAAATAAATGTAATTCTTAGTAGGTAATACTCGTAAATTTAATTAATTAGCTCTTTATACTAACGACGTTGTATCACATCAATTATTTAACATTAATCACGTCAGTGACCACCGTTGACGTGCTAATTACAAATTATGAATGCAAATTTATGAAAATTTATGAAAAATGTATTTATGGAAATTTTGGTCGTACGTTGTGTTAATATTTTTAAATATGTAAATCTCAAATCAGAATTTTTCAACTTTGAGAACTTGAATAATGCAACGTCATCATTTTTTAAAAAAATACCTTGTCTTTTCATTAACCATAAACTTTTAGTAAAATTAATGTTATATATTTCGTCTTTTTCTACAGAAATAATATTATCATTTTTCACACGTTTCTCCAAGGACTAATAGCATGCTATTTATCACTATAAGAAGTAAATCTCGACGATGATAGTATCCTAATTTTGACCTGGATATGTCTCCAGATCATATTTTGATCACGTTTTATGTAACTATACATACCTCGACCCCTCTCAAATCTGGTCGCGTCATAAATTATATGCTTGCGATACCCAAAGGTACTATGGACACAGAGCGAGCCAAGAGACGAAAACTCAAAAAAACCCATATCTTCAATCAATATGTGACCCTCAAATTCTATCTATCATATTTGTCACTTACGTTTTCATAATTTTTAATAAAAATGTATCAAATTGTTGAAATAAAATACTATTATGTAATATTTCAATTACATTTTGCTATACTTTCCTTAATAAATATTAATAGTAATAATAATTATAATAAAAGAGTCTATATATAGATTATAAATATATAATAAGAATAATTATATAATAAGAGTCTATTTTATTTTAAAAAAATCGTTTGCAAAATAAAAATTAAATTTTAATTTTCTAATAATTTTTAATTAAATTTTATATTAAATTTAAATTCTATGACATCCTACATGCTTTCGATCAAATAGTATAATAAAATACGTATATATAATGTTAAATATAATCGTTAATATATCGTTAATTACTTACATTATTACTATAATATAATTAATATAATTACTTACATTATATGTAATACTATATGTAATACTATATGTAATACTATATATTACATATTTTTAAAATATATTTGATTTTATCTTAAATAAATTCATAATTTTTCTTATCTTAAATACTTTAACAATAAAATGTTTTTATTAAAAAATTATTAAGTCATTAAATCTTTCTTTTAAATCAATGTCAAGCAATGGAATATCACATAAAAATTATTTACTAGAAATTTTATCTAAAATAAATGTAGTTTATATTCAGTTTATATAAATTAATCAAACTTTGCAATTATATAGGAATAAAATAATCGTAAAAGTTTTACCTCAAATGAAGTCTGCTATGAAGTTACATCAAAAGGAAATAATGCTTACTGTTTCTAAAGAAACTCAATAACAGTAGTTGGAGTTGGGATCGAACTTATTCTCAACTTTGCACCTTTGACATACATTGATTTTCTTGCCGCGTTTCCCACGGGCCAAGTTCCTATAAATTGACCGCAATTTGTTTCTTTGTCATGTTTGGAATGCACTTCTTATAATCTTTACAATCTTTTGATCCTGAAGAATAATGACAGTACTTCTTTCAAGTATTATTTTTCATTATTTTCTTAAGATTTTAAGAAATTTTATTCAATTATATCGACACACAAAGTACAAAAGAACTCAAGTGTCAAATAAATCGAGACAAATTTTTAACATAAATAATGTAATAAACAAGATTAACTTTAACGTAAATGAAAAAATAGTATGAATCTAAACAATAAACTCAAATTTTTTAATTTTATAAGCTTAATAAGAAATATAATAAATTCTCAACGGTAGCAACTTCATCATTTCATATTTTCTAGCGTCATCAGTTATTCCGGAAAGGTAGAGACACTTTTCATCCGGCCCATAGTGTTTTCGGGATTAATGCATACGTAAGAAAAGTATCTACCATGTAACATCGTAAAGTGTACGTGCCAGAAAAATCAGGACAATGAATCGACAGTCGAAACGCGTCGTGCAGCTCACGTTCGGCCTTACGCGTGCAAAGCATCGCGATGCGTCCACAAAACATCACTGGATTTTACGCGTCAGGAACAGTCCTCGTTGGAAATCTACCAATGTTGTTGGTGTAACTTAATACTCAGTTTAATTTTTCGTCAGATGTATCATTACGCGAATCCAATTACAAAAGTGAAAAATTCGAATAAAAATAAAACTTGAAAAGTGTTTTACGTTTCTGGTGTGTTGACAGCGTTGCTGCTATACCGTTCAAGCTTCCCGAGGATATCCATTAAACTTTATTTTGAAAACAGATAAGAGCAAAAAATAAACGTATATTCTGTAAATATACTATCTTTCAAACAAAGAACAACTTAACTTAAATATATGATAATTGGGGCTCAAATAAATATTGCGATACGACGAGTGATACGACGGCGGGTGACGATAACATAACTTCGTCTCGGACATCACTTCTTTAGCGCGAGGATTCAGCGGCTGAGACATCTGCCTCGGTTGTACGAGTTTGAGAAACGAACCGCGAAATGAATAAACGAGCTGACTCGGCGAGGCCGCCGTGCGAGGAACCCGCTTATCGCAAACGTCGCCGCTCTTACAACGCGGCTATGAGCGAAGAGAATTCACTCGGCGAAGATGATGACGACGACGAAGAACCAGAGGAAGAGGAATCCTATCCCCATCGTGACGATGCAACGCGAGCGCGTTGCTGCCGGCAACGCGAACGCAGCGTGCGGAAAATATCCAGCGTGGAATCCGAGACTCGCTGGTCGAGCGAGAGTCTCGTTTCGAAACGAGCGTTGACGAGGGAGTCTTCCGGCGACATTGCGAAATCATGGAGCGAGATCGAGATGCCCGAGTTGCTCCTGGCGCATCCAGAGATCCTATCACGTATGATACGGTGTCGTTGCTTCCTGGCGCAATTCTCCGCGTGCCAGTGCCGGTGTCGTTGCACCCAGTGTCAGGGCCGGAAGATTTCGTCCACATCCTCCTGCTTCGCCAGAGAATCCGTTCAGGGAATTACCGCGAGGCGGAAGGACTCCGGAAACTCCGTGTCGACTTGTCAGAGCTTCCTGCCGCCGTCCACCGGCAGAAACTCGGCCGGCAGCCTCTACCAAAACGTCGACATCGGAGACAACGGGACGACGATCCAGCGTCGGCATTCGATCGCCGCTGGTCCGATACCCCATCGTCGGTACTCGGATCAAACGTATTCGTATACGTTGCGCGGCTGCAAGATCGGCCGCGCAGATAATCGCAGGCTCTCCGAGCAACGGCTCGCTGGTGATACAATCGGAAAGCGCGAGAGCACCACCGATGCCGCAAACGATGCCACAGAACCAATCATCGCCAGCAACACCCGTCCGCAAACATCTCCGAAAGCGACAGCCCGCGCGACACAATCAATCGTCCCATTTTACCCCGAAAATTCCGCACCTATCGATATTAAAGCCCTGAGGAATAGCGAATCCCGAATTGCTAACGAATCTTTTTTAAACGCGCGTATCGCTACTAACGATAAACGTTCTGCTCCAAGTGCCAATGCTACTTCCGCTACCCGTAAAAATAGCGCTATTCCGATTACGCCTAACATGATGAGAAGAAGATTCTCCGAGCAGCTAATTCTCGAGGGAGGCCTTGGCAGCGTCGGCGGCGAATCTGAGAATCTGTTCGATCAACTTGAGAATGCGGAGGAGGCAGAGGAATCCTTCGCTGCGATAAACGCTCGAAAAAAAATCACGCTCAATAAGCATTACTACCCGGAAGGCGGCTGGGGATACGTTATTATCATAATAACGATTCTCGTGCACCTAATCTCTCATGGATTGCAACTGGCGTCTGGCTTGCTGATGAACCCAGCAATGATGCGATTCGAACAGACGGTTGAAAACTCAGGTACGATGTACAGACCATTATCGATAGGTTTAACGATCGATCTTCACGCTAAACATATATTTTTCACAGAGGACATGTTATTTACAACAATAAAAAAACTTGTATAAATTTACAAAAATTATATTTCTATGTTTTCCTGATTGCGCACTTATCGCTGAAAGGTTCATCTCTTATGTTAGTTACAAATGCGATTCACACATTAAGAAAATAAGCAGAATATCAAGTCGACATACTTGGCATCAAAAATATATCACAAAAATGTAAATTATAAATAATGCATGAGAAATTAATTTCTGTCGTGTGTACTCTTTTCCTTAATCATTAAAAGAGATTAATAGCGATTATATTTGATCTCAAATTCAAACAGTCTATTTTAAGAAATTTATGATATCCGTAAAGCAAAAATAATACAACAAGACAAGAATGTCTTGACGTATCTTGCTCCGCGTCACAATACATTCAATCGAGACAACATGCGTACACAAAATCAAATGAACTGATCTCTTCCCTATAGGAAATAATCGATCACAGTCGAGTGAGCAAATGAGACGCAGTGAACGTATACGTCACTTTAAGATACTTAATATGTAAATGCGTAAGATCTGCCACCCACGTCGATTAATATCCGGCTGAAAACACGTCGTCCGTAGTTTAGCAAAAGTCCGCGAAACTTTCAGCAAACTGCAGAGAGAATGCCAAAACGTGCGTCATATAACCGATTCGATACAGCAACAACTGTCGTTCAAACGGTATTTGTTTACCGTAAACTGCGCTAGAGCAGCAGCGTACAAATTTACTTCTATCTTACGTACGATCTGCAATCTAGAGCACACATCTAATATAAAAATATAAAGTATAAAGTGTCACGCACGACATGGATGCGAACACCATGTCCATTAGTTATGTCGCAGATAAGATTAGCGATCACCGATCCAAAGTCTATTACATATTAAACATTACTAAGAATTGAT